GGGGGAGGGGGGGTAGTGGAAACCGGCGGCTCAGTCGTCGGAGGGGGAGTGGTTGAAACAGGGGGCTGAGTTGTAGGAGGGGGGGTCGTAGAAACCGGGGGCTCAGTCGTAGGAGGGGGTGTGGTAGAGATTGGAGGTTCAGTCGTAGGAGGGGGGGTGGTGGAAACTGGAGGCTCAGTCGTAGGAGGGGGGGTCGTAGGCAGGGGGGGTTCTGTCGTCGGGGGAGGCGTCGAGACGGGAGAGCCGTCCCGATTGACTTGCCCGCAACTGCACGAGAAGCAACAATCGTTACATGGAGAATGTGAGGTATGTATGCCATCCTATCTGGACAGGAGCTTTAGATTCCTTAACGAGGCAGTATGACTTGGGATTTCGAAGCCGGTTGTGGCTTCGTGAGGGATCCCTTTCTGCAAGCGCAGCTTGGGTGAAACCTCCTGCGTTCTGCAGGCTGATGCATCTTCCACGTATTAGATCGACTCAGCTTGCAACCTTCGTAAGAAGAGGGCTGCGCAGTAACTTTAAAAGGACCCTAAGTCCGAACGCCAATCAAAACGCGAATAGTTGGACGAGTGCTTTTGGATCGATGAAGGCCAGTGACCGCTCTCTAAAAACGGACTCAAATCTGAATGGAGAATAGCGAAACAGATACCGATGAGGGAATTTGAACGAGACTCAGTCACATACATTTTTGAAGTACCCGAATGAATTGTTGTTTTTCTAACAACATCAGGCCCGCAACAAGCGCTCTATTTCTCTTTGATAAAGGGGGACGGATGTCAGGGAAAAGGTAGCGAACCGAGACGAGAAAGAGAAAGAGGAACAGGAGAATCAATGACTAAATGGACTGGAAAATGGAAGAACAAAGCGATCGTACGGGGTTATTGTGATGGGGAGGATTCCGGCGGCGGGGTGCGTGGAGAGCTGGTTCCAGGCCGGAAAGGAGAGGTCGAAGTGGTCGGGCGCGCACTCGGCTGCGGGGCACTCGTTGTCGAGATACACCCGGAGGGTGACACCTGGCAACAGAAGGTGATGTGGGGAAGATCTGAAGCGTCCGATGACCAGTCAAGCAACCAATGGGAAGAACATCGGAATAGGAAAGGGAGGCCAAACATGTTTACGGCGTCTTAAGGAAAGGTTCAAGTGCGTATTCAAACTTCGACTGCGGAACATATGTTTGGATAGTAGAGCAAGATGACGATTCAGCAAAGTATATTGCACCTCATAGACTGCTGCAAACTGAAGTCGAAGAAAAATGCAGCCGGTTTTGCCGCACTGTCCGAAGGAATCGAGGGTTGCCGAGAAAAGAATGGAGGAACGCGAGATCAAAAAACAACTTCTTTGGCTTCTTTGATGAAGCTCTACGAGTTTTGGGGTCCGTCTCCAGATCTCGCAGCACCCCGAGACCCCAGTTTCAGACCATTTTTCAGTACCAGATCAAGAAAGGAATAATTCCGGCGCCGATTAGGGAAAAGGGGACTTTCCAGGTAGCACCGACTTGCAGTTGCAGGTCAGTTCTATAGAGGGGAGTTTTCAGTCGGAGCCGGTCTTATATTCATCTTCAGATCAGTCTTAATTCTTGTCCTGATGTATTGTATCAAGTCAAGTTCCCAAGCAAGGCATCACGAAAGAAGAGAGGGAAGGGGCGCACCTGGCTGGCAGTCCCCGTCCGTGTCACGGGTGACGTCACACGTGATGTCGAAGCAGAGCCCACAGCCGGCGTTGAGCACTCCCCCTTGGTTCCTCAACGTGGGGTTGCCAGCGAAGGTGTTGAACCCGAAGAAGGGATTGTTCAAGGGATCCCCCCACTCACAGGCACCCACTGCAAATATTTTTGACCGTATCAGTTAACTTCGATTCTCCTGGGCTTGTTCGAGGGTAGCAGAAAGAATCACCAGACCCATTCTAAGAGAAGTCAAAGTCTTGCTTTCCGAAGTTTTTCGATGTTTCTTAACTTTTTTGTCTCCGATTGTTACAACACGACATAGCTTCACCTCATGACAAAGAAGTCAAATGCAGACTTTTCTTTCTAAATGATGAAGTCAGCCAGGCAAAATTGGTCCGAGACAAAATTTCGGACGTCCAACTTCTTGTGATGCGGAAAGGCTGCTTCTTTACCTTGTGAACTGGGTCTGAAGCACGCAGTGATTGTGCGGCAGTGTACTTCTCAGTGCGTGTGTGTGTGCGGCAGTGTACTTGCTTGTTACTGTGCCTTGTGAGCTGCCGTGGCAATCATGAGCTGACGTGGAAATCACGTAAGCCGAGCAAGGGGTGAGGCTTCCTGTCGCTCAGTGAGGGGACTTGTGCCTTGGTGATGCGCTACAGAGAAGTGTGTGAGGATTCGTGAGCTGCATGTGACGATTAGCAGCGCAGCGAGTGCGAAGGAAGATTCTGAAAGCGCAGGATTAGCTTGAAAGCAAGCTGTACCAACTGCTGCATCCAGGCAGTCATATGAGTCATTCCAGGTGAATACTCGGTTGTAAGATACTGAAGCAGTCTGTGTCAAGAGACGAGGTACATCTATAAAGGCGACACCTTGGCATTCCTGCTGCAGCTATAATGTTCCAGCTCACCAATGGAACTCATCTCACTCTACAGCAGGGCCAGCCAAGCTGCATTCTCTCGTTTAGCCTTTCTATCGGACACGCTACACTTTAGTACCATTGCGTTAGGTGCATCGATGAGATTCACGTTTCAGCATTCCACACGTATGGGTCATACTAGATCAGGCTATCAATAACTCAAGAAAAGGCTGGAAGCTGCAAAAAGTGTAATCCCCTCTTACATGGGCCCACTCCAGTCACAAGGTCGCCGTAGTGAGTTGCCTGCGGGCCATTCCCAAAATACGTTGCTGCCGCCGGCCCCGCCAGCAGCGAAAGTGCCGCGATCCACACGAACGCGCTCCTTGGTAAGTTGGAGTCCATTGCAGTCCGTAGCACGTGAGCTGGTCTCTTGCAATGCTGGTCTGCTTTCCAGTTTGTAGGAGACTCTTTGGTTGTCTAAGCTGGGAAGCTATGAGTGGAACGGAGAGAGAGGAATCCGCTGTCTTAAGGCATTGGTTCGAAAGTGCTTTTCAGTGGGAGGAGGAGTGCTGGGTAGTTCAGACGTATTTGTGAGCTGAGAAAAGGGACAAGTGGAAGAATTGGGAAGGGAGTCCTCTGGGGACGAGCTGGAGAAGGTCCTGACAAAGGCTGTTGATTGTGAAAGGTGGTAGTATGGCCGGTGCTCGATTGATGGTCGGCGGGGCAGAAAGGGGATCAGCTGGGCAATGCCGAAGTGCACAAGCTTGCCAAGGGTGCAACTGCGGTACGGTCGCTTAGTGTCTTGCTGCGCCTCAGTCCACTTATCAGTGAGATCTGTGAGCTGGATAGCTGGAGGTTTGAGCTGTTGGGCGCTTAGACGTGAGGAAGTGGTCTGGCCAGAGAAAGTGAATCGAGTTTTGAGAGAGAGGCGTCTATATGGAGATGTGATCAATGCTGCTGACCTTCAGTTGAAAGGCGGGCACTCAGTATTAGTAACTGTAGGAGTACTCGACAGCTTCCTGATTTCAATCTGCAGGACATACTGATGGGACGGATTTGTATATGCATCCAATACATGAATTGAATGGAATTACAAGGGTCCACTCGGAGTGGAAAGGTAGTATAGAAAACACAGCGCTTGCAGCGGCAGTCAGTCGAAGTCATGGCGCGCAGCTGCAGCAGCAATGCCATCTTCACAACGTACGAGAAGGGGGTGCTCTTGCTAGCTAGACCTTCATGAAGTCCAGATCGAGAGGTACTGTTCAGTTACCAGTACTAGTACTTGGTACTAGGTGGTGGTGTACTGGACAGCTTTCTAGCTGACACAGTCTCTGCTCAGTGCTCGGGACTTCATTCCTGAATCCTAATTCCTTCCTGAGTATGGCGATCGGCAGACTGGGCCCGGGCGGCGGAGGGCGCTGAAGCCGTAACGGTCTCCAAATCTCACTCGGCCAATCGCGTTGAAGGAGTCAAACTTCAGCTGTACGGCAGCCGTACGGCTTTGACCAGTTCTGCCAAGTGTCCGTTGGTGGGCGATCGCGTACGGCCGCTTCCGCCGACGCGAGGCTCGACCTTCCGTTCCGTAGCAATTTCTGAACGGACCCCGGAATCCGATTCCAGAGTCAGAGACTGGTTAGCCCAGGCTAGCCACGCTGGCTGCCGCTTAGGAATGCCGCATGCGGCATAGATACTCCAGGGGCGCTACTAATGCCCTATTCACATGCGTAGCTGCTACGGGTGCTGCGCAGCGTACGGAGGGGGTGTAGCGCCAGATTGCTACGGGGGGTGAGAATGCCGCAAAAGTTGCTACGAGGGCAATCCTGGTTGCTGGAGTTCACATTTACATGGTAGGTGGGCGTGAGTGAATGCACACTCGAAACTGAATAATATTCGATTTCGAGCTTTCGAAGCTGAATTGAACTTGAGGTGTCGAAAATCGGGGATCATTCCGTGCCGCAGCCGCAAGCCGGTACGGAAGCTACTGGGGTCTGAATCTGCGGCAAAATTTGGTTCCGTAGCGGGTTCCGTAGCGTCCGTTGCTTCCGTTGCGCCAAAAAACCAGAATCGACGTTCACATTTCGTAGCACTGCCACGTCGGATGCGTTGCATCCGTAGCGCTCCGTAGCATCAAAAAACGTACGCATGTGAACAGGGCATAAAGAGATAGCATTTGGCACCAGCAATGGCGACCTCCCCAGCTCTTCGCCTCGCTCAGAGCACCACGCCACCATGTTTTCCAACTAGGAGCCAAGTTGAATGCTCGAATGCTATCCATTGCAGCCAACCCTCTCACAGCATTGCACAAAGCATGCTCGTCCCCTTCACCCGCTCAAAATCCCTCGCAAAGAGCCACATTCAAAGGTTTCCTTCTAGTTATCCCCTCACCTCAACTCTGTCCCTAGACAACCTTGAGGTTGTTGCGTTTGTCCCAGGGACTCGCAGACCTTCGCAGCAGGCACAATGCAAGCGGCGGTGTCAATGCTTCGCCAGCGCCGCCCAAGCGACGGCATTGACACCGCCGGAGCTTCCGAGGACTGCGGAGGAGCAGACGGCGCTCGCGAAGGAGGCATTGCAGCGGGCGGAGGCGGATGGTGTGAAGAGGCAGCGAATGCAGCTGCTCTTGCCAATCGATGCAAGGGCGAGCAATTTCTTAGACACAGAACCCAGGTGAGCATTGGGACAAGGGTGCATTTCTGTGAAAATGGAGGTCGATCTTAAGCTCCCTTCTGTCAATCAAAGGGTTGCGTCTTGTGTTGACAATCAAAGGGTTGCGCAACCTCTTAGGCTCACAGCCAGATGGGAATGGACAAAGAGAAGGTCTAAATAAGATCAAGACTGAAGATTTGTGCGTCCTGCAGAGGTTTCATCGTCCAGGATGGGTGCGACCGCTGGCAAACACTGACGTGCTTTTCAGTTGTGTCAGTCTCGGAAGGCTTTGCAACAATCGCTGTGCTGCCCCTCTGAAAAAGGCCCAAAGGGGCTAAGCCAATGCGGTTGTGAAATGCAGTTCTGAAATGAATCTCATTGACGATGGGGGCATTGGATTGGTAGATAATTGGCAAATCATAGTTCCCAAACATCTTCAACAAGCGCGTTTGCTGTTTTGCAGGGACTACCCTTGCAGCATGAAGGAGGAATTCGAGGTGGCGGTCAAAGTCGCTTCTAAGATCCTCCAAGTGGGGGGGAGCGAGGTTCGGTTTCGGAAGATCGGAGAGCGGGACCAAGAAATGGACCCCGTTGGGCTAGTGAGCACAGCAGACAAGAGATTGGCCGCAGTGGTATACCCAATTGCAGAGACTTTGAAACAGGTGGGCCAGCTTTTCCCGGACTTTGAATTGTGATTTTGTGCAAGCTGAGTGCTTGCTGAGAGTTTGTGTCTCTTTGTTCTGGTTAGCTTTGACGGTCTGGTGTACCCAAGCAATCCGGATGGAGCATTGAAGCAACCCTGATCAGTGGCCCATCTTTGAAGCATAGAACCGTACAACGTCACGTCCTGCAAAACGAGGTACGTCCGTAGATCCAGCAAGTGTCCCTAGTCCCGAACTCCGGAAAGCGCACACCATTCGTTGAGGAAGAGTTTGCTTGTCACTTTAGTTGGCAGTCCGCCTGTATGCCTAGCCTTCTTAACAACCCACTCCTTTCAAAATACTGTCCCTTGTCAAAGCCGACGCTTCTTGTTTCTTGGAGATGCAAGAAGTTCCCAACAACTCCCATAATGATCCTTAGCCACAACCCTCATAATCAAAAGCTTTCCGGGCAGTCCTAGACACGTGTCCAAATCCTGCAGACTGCACACACCCAGGCCGCTCTCTGTTTGACACATGTCCCTGCATGAAAATCTAGAGCTCGCCGCCAACTCATTCAAACAGCACAGTGGCTTCAGCGCAACAGAACCAACTGGACTTTGTCTATTTTTTGACCACTCTCCTTCTGACACGTTTTCATCTCGGCAGATCCAGGAGCTCGCCGGCAACTCGCCCAATGCGACGTTGGCACTGGTCAATCCCCAATGGAACAACTCCGGCCAGATCGTTTCCGACTTTGGCATCGGACCCTGGAAGAGGAAAGCGGAGGAGTTTCTGGACACGTTTCGCCCAACTTTTGAACTGGCCGAACAGGTGAGGGAAGACCGCCAGTCTCGGTTAACCCACCGGTCACACAAGTAAACCTCGCAATCACTCAATTTCGACTTGAAAATGTCAGTTAACCCACCGGTTACACAAGCCAACCTCGCAGTGTTTTCTGGCTCGGACTTTGACTTACAATCCGACCCTTGTGCCTTTTCTACTCTTTTACCTCGCAATGGTATATCCTGCCGTCTCTTGGTTGGTAAGGTTACGTTCTGATTGTGTTCACGAACTGCGGGTGGACTGATGGTGGAAGATTTGTGCAGTTGCTATATGATTGCCTGGAGAGAGTGTATCTGCTCTTCTCCCGGCGTTCCTGGGTACTATGCGGCTGCCTCATGTGTTCCAGTCTCAAATGTTTGCCTGGGGTCAAGAATACAAACCCGCTCGTATGAGTCATTTCACCTTTGCTTCTTCCGAGACGCATTGAAACGCTTACTTACAGGACCAGTTGTTCACAGAGCGCAACGGAGACCTGTCATGATAGCTTTTGGGTGGGGTCAAAAACCGAAAAATCGCGGCAGACTGGAGGTCTAAAGTCATCTGTTCTCTTTTAACGCTCGTGTGGACTGACTCGCTGACACGTGTGCACAGAGGATTGGAGAGGCGTCAAACATCGCGTCGACGCAAGGGGGGGTAGTTCGTCTGCTGCGAGCATACCCCCACGACTGGCAGGTGAGGACATCGAACGCACACAATGATAGCATCACCTTTTCTCTTGTTGTTCTCCAATTAGCTCGACGAGCGTCGCTTTTGGATGATCCAAGGCGGGGCTGCGTTCTCTGAAAGTTATCTGCGTTTGTCGCCTGCCTGAAGGAGAAGACACTCGAGGCCGCTCATCACACACGGTCTCTGTTCAAGTGCTAGCTACGGGCGAGAGACGGATGACGAAGAACAATCGCGATGGATTGGTGGATCTGAGTTACTATTGAGAATTTAAAATGCTTGGAGGCGGTTGCGCGAGTGTGACTGGAGGCAAGGGTGCGCCTCGACTTCATGTGGGGGTTCGCGCCCTTGCCCTATCATGAGACGACTCTGGTCAGCGTAAATCGATTCGAACGCGTTTCTTTCCGGATTCCGTCCCTCGGAGAAGCACCCCAATCACGCAAGAGTAGGAGCATCAGTCTTACCTATGCCGACATAGATCACGGGCCCATCAATGAGCGAATTGACATCGTGAAAGGGCCCGGGATTGACGTGATTTCTGTCCGCCCACTTATGCAGGTGTTTCTGATGTCGTATGACGGCAACAACGAGTGCGTTGCGACCTATGAGGAGCGGCCCTCGTATGCGGAGCTTGAGAGGCTGCTGCAAGAGGCGAGTCCTTCGTTCATCATTTTTCATTGTCCTGACCCGCGACATTCCGAATTCGCAACGCGTCATGCTTCTTCCGGCTTTGGCTCTTCTCAACCTGACTCTGAACATGTCTGCGGTAGCTGCATCTTCTGAAGACGCCTTTGGGTGTTGCTTTAGGTTGCTGCTTCGTCGGATGCTCTATTTCCCATCTTTCGATGGTTTGCCGCTCACTTACGCAAACGCACTTTTCGGTTCCACTCCTTCCCTCTGAACCCAAATCCCTTGACCGCGTTTCAATCAGAGGTTAGCCGGTCCCTGGCTAGCAAACCGCTCCTCGAAGGGAGGGGTTATTAGGGTTTCCCGGGGTTAAACAGGGTTACCCTTCATTTTCGTCTGCAGAGCAGCCGACTGAAGACCCAAACAAATGCGAACCACTTTCCCACAGGTCCGAAGAACCGCCCAACCCCCCATTCCGCCTTGAGCACATGCGCCCCCCCGGAAAGGCATGTGAATCACTTTCCCGCAGGTGCGAAAGCCCGGCCAAATATTCCGAAGGTCCGCCGCCCTGCGCAATCCCTCCCCCTCCCCCCGAGAAAAGCATATGAATGGCTTTCCTGCAGGTTCACAAGACCCGCCCGGGCACCCTGCGCACTTTCGCCCCCCCCTGGAAAGAGATGCAAACCTCTTTTTCTGCAGGTCCGGAAGACCCGCCGGGCCACCTTACAGCTCTGTGCACTCTCGCGCCTCCCCCCCGAAAAGAACGTGAACCCCTCTCTCTGCAGGTCCGGAAGACGCGCCCCGCGACCCTGCGCACTTTCGCCCCCCCTTCTCCCCCCGTGACAGAACATGAACCGTTTTCTCTGCAGGTCCGGAGACGCGCCCGGCCACCCTCTCCGCCCTGAGCACTTCCGCTCCCCCCGAAAAGCATCTGCAATCGCTTTTTCGCAGGTTCGACAGAATCGCCCGGCCACCCTTAAAGTCCCGCGCACTCCCCCCCCCTTGTAAAGGAATACGAACCACTTTCTCTGCAGGTCCGCAAGACGCGCCCAGCCACCCTCTCCGCCCTGAGCACTTCCGCCCCCCCTCCCCCCCCTTTGGCACGCTCCGTCGCTGGGCCGTTCACCGACGACGAGATCGACGGCATGGATAAGTCGGAGCTGAGGCGCGCTCTGACCGCCCTCGGGTTACCCACTGCGGGGCGTCTAGCCGTGATGCAGGTGACTCTTTAAGGGAGTCTCGGGCCCACTTAACCGCATTGCACGACCAGTCTGAAGTTCACTATGTGCGAAGTTCATGGATTCGACGATATACTCTACTCCCCGCTCTTGCTGGAACTATCGAACACTTCGTTGAAGACAGCTCCTTTGTGCGAGGTTAAGGGGTCCGAGAATACGTATAGCTTCAGGTTGTGTGACAAGATCAAAGCTAACACTAGAATTGCGTTCCCGACCACGTACCCGCTCCGAACTTATGCCCACCCTCAAAACCCCTACTAACTTCACCCGTCGCAGGCAAGTTGTCTTGTTATGATTTGCGCTTGTTGTGACTGATCTAGAGATTAATGTTTTGCAGGAACGAGTGAAGGACGCGCAAAGAAAGTTTGGGTTTGTAAAATAAAGAGAGGAACATGTTTCTGCGAGTTATTGTATCTTGAGGAAAGCATCCGCACTTGAAGATAAAACGGCGGGTTTTGCAAGGGATGACGTTGTAAGAATTGGTAGCTCGTGTTGAGATCGCGGTTTTGTATAGTAATCGGAGCTAGAAAGGCCGCCTTTGTGTGTGCAGGCGGTTAAGTCTGGCGAGTTGCTTTTGGTTTAGGGGCACAAGCGAGGCTGTTGGACTAAACATCTTGAATGCCCTTACAGTGGTTGGCGACCATGTAGCGTCTCGAAGCGTAGAAGAAGGAACATTTTGTGTTTGATGTTGAAGCCGTTGGCGCGCTTCTAAGGCGCACCGTCCTCTTACCTTTAAACACACTCCGTCCGAGTCAAGCTTGCAACCAACCTGGCAGATTCTTGTTATTGTCGCGCAGGCTCGACTTAGTCTTTTACATATCTCAGTAGCAAGTCCTGTTTATCATGGTTCGAATCAATAAGCGGGGTGCCAGCTGCTTATGAATGTTTGCGAGGCCGCATGGTATTTTTGTCCACGGATTCGAGAGTGCGGCCGCTAGCATTTAGTGTCGAGTTATACAGCAGTTGGAAGACATTGGTAACATGCGATCACTATCATCAAGCTCTGCAATTCTGGCACCGTCACATGCTATCTAGAGTTCCGGCGTTTGGTGATGTCGATATCATATGGGCCGCGGCCCTGGTAGGAAGCGACTGGCAGACACTGCGAACATATGTGCAGTTGCGGCCGGTTCAACATGCCGATTACGGTGGGCATGTCGGCTCTTTATTCAACTGGAAAAATTGACACGTAGTCCGGTCACTCAAGTCGCATGTGGTACACAGATCTATTCACATCGATCTGGTAAACAAACGATGTCAGTTATTGCAAAGGATCGAGAATTCCTTCGCGAATGATATGAGATGAAGTCCGAACTTTCGAGTACTCGCGGCGCGGCATACGAACAATCTATGTGACTTATCTCACATCACTCGTCGCGATAGATTGCGCAATCATCATGCAGGCTCTATCGTCTCGAATGCAGTGATAAGAGCTGGTTGCCAGATTGCTGGATTCAAACCGCAAGCCTGAATTCTGCTTTTATGCCACGTACAAAATTGTTCAGAAAGAGTCATAGTACAAGACTCTTAACAACTTCAAGACTCTGCAACGGCTTTTCAGCCCGCCTCATCTCCTACGCTTGTCAGCACTCTCGCTTGCTTCTGCAAGGTCCGCCGATTCTCAAAAGCGCCTCTGTTAATCTATCAAACGAGGAAAACAAACTGGCGCGCGAATCGCATTGCGCGCCCTACTTACATTCAGCGGCACCTGTCATACGCACAAAGAAAAAGAGTACGCCCAGAACGCCGATAAGGTAAACTCAACCTGCTAAAAACTTTCTGCTCTGTCTGCCCCGCGCGCGCTTAGATTTACCAACTTAAGCTTAAAGCCGAAAAGCGGATTTGAAAACGGCGTATGCCAGCTGTCGCTCTAAGAGTCGGGCTCCAGAACGTACTTCACGTTGTCAATCACGAACCGGATGGCCGGACCGTGCGGCACAATAGTGATCTGCGGCGTGTATATGTTGGTCGCCTCAAACCTGCCCTCGGAGTAGAGCACGAGGGAGTCGACTGTGATTGACCCGCTGCCGACGGTGCTCGAGCCCAGGCCGTCCACGAAGAAAGCTGCAATGAAGCGATGATGACGTGAGACAATAGTTTTTCTTCCTGTTTGTTGACGTTTTTCAGAGTTCCGTTTGTCTTTGGTGCAGAGAAATCATGGTGTCCGAGACGCGAGAGAGCGCGCGTTGCTTGAATGTTGGGCGCTCTTTCTCCTGGGTCCCTTGGTAAGTCGGAGAAACTTGGATATGATCGGAATCTTTTATGCAGATTTTAGCGACGCAAAGCATAGAATGGTCTTGTCTCTGTGGCACACCAGAAGCTGTGGCCGAGCGGACTTTTGAGGCAAAGGGACGATCCGGAATTTCCTTCTTATATCGCGTGCGCTAAGAATCTGTAACGTGGATCTGTAATGAAAAGGGCTGAGAACAAGTCGGTCTGCGTGGAAAAGCTAGGAGAGAGGTTGCATCAAGAAGGGCGTCTCGTGTTTAGTAAATCTGCTTGCGTCAAAGTGGTCAGAACCCACGTCCTGCGAAACAACACAGGATCATGGAACAAAACGAACTGCGCATTCAATCACGCCGCGAACCGTGAAAGAGGGAATGCCAAACTCAAGCATTCATTCACTCACCTTCGGTGTGCCTCCCAAAGTTGCTCAGTGCAACGCCGAATGAAACCGCCACGAAGTGATACCCCGCCTTCGCCTTCAGCTGTACGGTTACTCCGGGCACTATCGCGCCCTCCAGCGAGGGGTCTTGGACGTACGTCATGTTGCCCGGTCCGTAACTCCCGAGCTCAACCGGGTCGTTCGGGTTAACCGGGCCGTAGACGATGGTCAGGTCCTTAACCTTCTGGTTCTGGGCGTCGACCGGGAAGTAACCCCGTTCTTCCATGGTCACAGTTCCCGTCAGCTGGTTCGTACCGGAAGGTGTGACTTGGCCGACGAAGGTGTTCACGGCCTGGGGAGGAGGGGGAGCGGTGATGACGTCAGCGATCAGGTGAGCATAGCAACCACTTCGACCCGCAAGTTCAAAGCCACGTTCTTAAGATACCCAGGTCTTCATTCTCTCGTAAGCATAGGTTTTTAGAATCGAAAAGCCTTGACAAGAGGAGATAAAACTTGAAGAATGGTTTGCGGTCAACGAAGCCCGTATAAACATTTCGGTTGAGCTATACGCGCGATTGTTGCTTGGTGGGCGAAGGTCTTGTCCTCTGACAGCAGCTCTTACTCTTTGCGACAGATGATAAAATTCGAAGATTGAAAAAGACACTTGAGCCTGAGTGAGACCCCGACGCGAAGAACATAAAGTGTGCTGTCTGCATTTTCCGATTTTTTGAAGATCCAGCTCAAGAGTTTTCAATGCCCTCTTGTACCCCAGTGACAGTCAAACCTGATTTGCTGTTCCCTTGACTAACTGAGCGTGGTAGATTCCAAGCAGCGGGAATCATTGTTGGTGACAGAAGGGAAGCTCAGACCAGATCCAAAGCATGATTGCAACCTCGGGTGGAAATCGTCTCGCTCTAACAGCTGAGGAAAAAGACTTCAGAAGGAAGTTTCCTTTTAGACAGTACTCCTACGCCCCAAATCTTGCTACTTGAAACCGTGCGTCATATGAATTGAACTCTGTGGACACACTGGGCACGATCTTGGTTTCATAAGTTGCCTGCTTTTCAATATTGCAGACACCTCTTTCAGCATTAACCATCTGAGTGCGTGGACTACAGACGAATGTGATCTGGCACGGCAAGCAATCTTCGCAGAGGCACGAACAATGCTCTCTCATCCTGTCATGAACCAGTTGTTTAGAAAAGGTGGTAAAAAACGACTTACTTCAGCGGTGGCGCTGATCTCGAAGGTCGGCCCCTCTTCCCATGCAGAATTGGCTGCAGAGAAAAGGATTTTGTGAGCACTATATCAACCTTCAAGTTGTTCAAGACTTCCGCCCAGAGAAATATATGCAGTCGAGGTATGGACTGTGGAGGAGAGCTGTGGGACCTAAGCTGACCTCTTCCTTCTGGTGCATTACATCTGCTGAAACTTCAGATTGAAATCACCTGGGCAGAAACTCAAAACCAACATCTCTTTCCCACGATCTTTGAACAAACATCGTATCTCACTCTTCGTGATTCATATGGAACAAAAGCATAATCATTGTTACTGTCATTGGCTTCTGACATCGATGCGCTTGTTCATGGCAGGCAGATCTTCCTGGTTTCCAAAAACAGGTGATCTTAAAACGGGGAGCTTTCAGATCAGACAATCCATTGGAGGGTGAGATCTAGCTCACAGACGGATCTCAGAATTTCAAGCTCATGCATCACAGGCATTGACCTGTTCTGTAGACAAGTGGCAATTGTTCTCACTCTGCATTCTCTGATTCAATCTGCTGATCCCCATGCATTCTCTCAGCAAGTTGCCCAGACACTCTTAAAATGGTTGGGGTGAATAACTTGCATCTCTCAGTAAACAGCTTATCACGTACTTGAGAAAGTTCATGGAAGTAATGGAAGTGGCATTGCAAGCTGGCTCATGTCAAAAGCGGACCAGCGGAAAGGCATATCAACCCAAGCAGCGGAAAGATCAACAACGCCCACAATTGACTCAGGAGTCAGAAACGAGCTCATCAGCACAGAGCCGGGATCCGGAACCTAGGTACACATTCTGCGATCGTTGTCTCACCTGCATGTACTGCTGACGTGGCTGTCAGCAGGGCCCCCACGAGGCACATCGTCGCGGCAATCTGAGCTCTGGAGCACCCCATTGGGTTGGCTGTGCTGGCGGCAGATTCCACGGTGCGCGCTGCGCGGAGATGCGGGGTTCGGTGAGAAGCGATGCCGGAGGGCAGCTGCTTTGTGAGCGGCGCAAGCGAAACTAGTGACAACGTCAAGCCCAGACTCGGCTTCTAGCTCTGCAAGTGAGCTGTGACATGCACCAAGCTCTGCATATGTAGCCAAAAGGTGAAAGTGCAGCAAGGGGCCGGTCTAGGTATGTACCGACTCTGAGTAGGGGCCGAGTCAAAGTCAAGAGGCACCATACCTACCTAAGTGAGGTACGTCGTTTGTAAGAAAGCAGTAAGTGGGAAGTAGATCTGGGTCTCGGATTGCTCTGTAGACAGTCGGAAACGACAAACCCTTACGTACCAGTTAGGAACATAAGAGTCTAGGTAGGTAGGTACGAGGGGACAGGTCACAGAAGGCTTTGACCTCTGTGAAAATGATCAATCCAACCAATGGACAGGTTCCTGAATCCTACACACGGAACTCTGAATTCTATCCACCCATAGACTGTTCTGGTACGCGTTAGTACCCACATGCAGGTTTTCTTTTGTGCTCTACCTAGCGCAGCAGTACCATAAACCTTCCAATACTGAAACAGGTTACACTAGTACCGCTGGTCTACTCCTGTTCATATTCCTCGGGCCAGAGACCGTCCTTAAAGACGTTCTTCAGACGGCAGCCTTTGAATCTGCCCCAATCGCTTACAAACGACTGACGGCGAATTGACGCCCCTGTGACGCCCGTCAAGGCGCAGCCCGGGGAAATTTTACATGCGCATTGAATTTGGTGCAATATGCGTGACAAGAAACACGAGTGCGCAATGCACATGCCCGACACGAGTTTGTCAGATCTGAAAGGTTACCGGTAGACCGAAACCGGCCTACTAATCAAAACTCAACCTACCGGTTCGTTGCAATACAGGCTTGGCTGCCAGGTGTGGGCTTTGTGTATCGAAACCTCTGTCTACCGGTAGAAGTACCTTTTCTTGGCCGGTAACTTTGGTTAGACAGGTACCGGTAACCGTAGACCAAGTCGAAATGTCGTCATGCCATGTATAGCCGCCTGGCCGGCCGCGCCAGCGCCGCCGTGCGCGCGGCCGCGCCCTGGCAGAGCGGCCGCGGCGCAACCCTCCGACAAAGTGCGGCCGCGGGGCGGCCGCTCGAACGTTCTAACTTCTATCCCTTAAGACGATAAGACTGAAAGGGTTGGCCAATCTTCTGCACGATCATCAGATAATAGCGCCTAGATGTGTGGATGCTTCCATATTTTTTCAGAGACGTAATACTCGATGACATGAAGTGCACTAGGCCACTAAGGCCAAATATGCGCGTCTGAACCTACCTTTTGTAGGGACGTCGACATGACGTGAGCAAGGCGAAGAGATGACGCGGGGGTACGTGCCCGTATGAATCACGTTGGAAAGATGCATGTGCAAAAACACATGCTCGGCTTTCGAGTTCGCGGAGGGAACCAATGTGCCCAAATATTTTCCTAATGCAAATTCAGTTACAGAGTATTCTACACGGCCTTCCAAACCTATTGGAAGGTTTCCTACGTACATTCGTTTTTGATCATATTTTCCAGACGTACGTCTGCTGTGCCTTTGTACATATTGATCATCATTTGCAAGGTTGCAATCCTGCCGATATCATTTTGAAGTGCTTAACTTAGAAAGCTGAAAAAGCTAGTAAATACAAGATCACTGCTTCGTTTCCGTTCCACCTTTATCTGTACTTCATCTACTGTCATCGCAGTTACTATGACTTCTCATCGACCGTACAATCCTCTCTTTGTCAACAAAACTGACGGATTCTGTGTAAGCTGATTTCTATCCCTATGGTTTGATCATAAATCAGAACAACCTATTTGCCGGGGTGGCGCTTAGTTTAGTAACAAGAGGGCATCTCATCTGTCAAAACTTTGCAGTCCGGCCGTCGAGAGTCGGTTACACCGATTGACCGGTCCGCTCTAGTTATTCCGCTGTCTTTCCCGTCAGTCACACTCCCTAACGCTCGGTGTTCTGTCATTCATAACACTCTTACAACTTTTTCTACATACTCTTCAGTACTTTTCCAGGTTCGCCAAGCCACACATACTGGGCTCTTCTGCACAAACGGTATCTATTTGCGCTCCTAATCGCGCTCTAGGACGTACTCCACGTTGTCCAGCACGAACCGGGCGGCGGGGACGGCGTGGTTGGGCACAATCGTGATCTGCGGCGTGTATATGTTGGTCGCCACGAACTTGCCCTCGGCGAAGAACGAGTAGATGGAGGTGACCGTGATCTTGCCGCTGCCGACCGTGCTCGAGCCCAGGCCGTCCACGAAGAACGCTGCACGGCAATGAACGGGTGACGTCAGCTGGTGGAGCCACTTGCTGAAGTTATGTGAGAAGAAGATGCCCATCTTCTGAGAGCGACGATTGTGAAACCGAAAAGAATTCACAAGACAACGAGTGAGAATGGCGACATGTGTTTCTCGAAGTTAGCAAACCCAGCAGCACTATACATCCTTGCTTCGGATGAGCTTCGTGCCCGCGGCTTGCATATCCATTCGGCAGAGCTTGATTGCAAGTGGGGTATGGCCTCCTGCCAGATCCTCAATTGGCAGCAGGTTGATCGGAGGGTCTCGAAGGGCCCGTCGTACAATAACGGCCCGTCGACGAACAACACAACGATACGAATTGAAAAAGAATTTCAGTGTGCAGACGTTCCCCCGATACAAACATGCAATGGGCTTCGCTCACATCAAGCCAAAAGCACTGTTACGGTCCGACTACGTCACTTTGCTTCCACGAAGACCCCCAATGGAAAATAAAATCGAACTCCGTTAGCAAGATATTTGATTACCTGTTATTTCCGTTATCTGGTTATCTGGCAGCCCGCTATTTACAAACACAAGCAGATCCTACGGTTCTCAAACTCGAGATCCACTTGCTCAATCTCCTGAGCTCAAAGTGAATTCGTCGTACTACGCTTCGCCAGCCTTTGGTGAACTCGAAGAGCTCCACTCTGCAAGTTCCGAAGTCATTGTATTTGATTGACAATCTGGTCAAGAATGAACGAAAGATCTCTACGTGACGTCACTCACCGTCGTCGTACGTTCCGTAGGTGCTGATCGCCACGCCGAAGGAGACCGCCACGAAGTGGTACCCGGGTTTGGCGTTCAGCTGGATGTTTAACCCGGTCGCAAATCCGCCCTCCATGGACGGATCCTGAACATACTTGGTTGCGCCCGGGCCAAAGTCCCCAATCTCAATGGAGTCGGTGGGATCCTCCGGGCCGTAAACGATGGTTAAGTCCTTAACCTGCTGGTTCTGGGCGTTGATGAAGTAACCGTTCTCGTCCATTCGGACGGTTCCCGTGAGCTGGTTCTGGCCGCTGGGGGCGACCTGACCGACGAACGTGTTCACGGCCTGCGGGGGAAAGGGGTGGAGATGACGTCAGCAAGCGTAAGCTGCTCAAGATATAGACCACGTGCTGAGCAAGAAGATGGTTAGGCTGGACCTGGTTGCGTTTGAATCGCGTAGTAACGCTGGTGTAAGAAGACTTTGTATGGTTCTTTCGGTTTGTTGGGGTCGAACAGTCTTTTGAGGATGCTAGCTCGCTTTCAGATTAGCGCACCATAGTTGGCACAGAGAACGCGAAGCGTAGGTTCTGAGCTCCAACTTTGAACTGGGCAAGAGCAAACCAAGTCAATTGGAAGAGATGCGACTGGAAGAAGCTGCTTCAAATGAAGGAACGTTCAAAGTGTAAGTACTTGCGCTTCACTAACAGTCGGCAGGATTGGTTCAGTAGCTCTTATCGGGACGGCACTGCGAATCTTTTCCACGGCCAACGTTGAAGAGCTGCTAAGCAATGAATGCTTCGGAGTAAGGGCTACTGTCTCCGTCTAGGAATGTTTCGTGCACATGGCTTACCTCGGAGTTGGCGTTGACTTGAAACTTTGGCCCTGGGTACCAAGCAGGATCAGCTGCACGGAAAAAGGAAATGCTGATATGATGCACTTGGACTTGAAACTGTCAAGGTGTCTAAGGTGATCCGATACAGGACCTTTCGAAAACCCACATGCCAAAAGTCTTGCAGTCTACTATAATGGTATCAGAAGCTTGGCGAAATGGCACCACATGTGAGGAACGGAAGTCAGCACAAAGGGTGGTCAGGGGGTGAAAGTCGAACGGGAAGTAGCTGGTGCTGACTTTGACTGCCAGTCCAAAAGTAAACCTTTCTTCTTGTATCTCGCATTCTTCGACCAGCGAAAGCAGGATAATGAGGCCCGCATCTTGTCAGCAGCTTTTCGAGTCAGGTTCTCACCTTCTGAATCTTTTTTTAAGGATGGAGTTTGAGCCAGATGAATCGTTCAAGATGACACCTTCAAGTCTCATCGTAGTCGCGTCGAATAACTTCATTATCAATGCTTCAAACGCCAGACCTTTTTCATGTCAGTTTTGTGTCGCTTCAGACTCTGTGCCCAAACATAAGCTGCCATTGACGGTCGAGTTCGCAGCCAAAGAGCACAAAACGCAGAGAAAAAACGTAGTCAGAGAGTAGGATTTGGGCCTTACCCGCAGACACCATGGAGGCTGCCAGGAGTGCCACGTGGCAGACCATCATCGCCGCTGCCAGCTGTCCTTTGGAGCTCGCCATGGCTTCTTCTGTTCTCCGACAAGCTAGAGCTTATGGATTTGCGTCAGCAGTTACTTGTAGAAGGTGAAGCAGACCCACTGGAGGCGGTGCGTAAAAAATGGAAGAAAGCAGAGAGCCGCCGGGTTCGAGACGTGGGCTGTTGGAATTGAGCTGAGCAAGGTCGTGGGAGTGGATGTTTGGCAGTGGCGAAAGTTTCGGTGGAATGCTTTATAAAATGCTCCAGCCGGTGAACTTCGTAGTATTCAAGTAGTACTGTCCGCGCTGGAAGTCTTTGGCTCGTCTCTAGCAGTGGCAGCTCGAGTCGACGATGAGTGTTTGCTCACGACCGCAAAACCAGGTGACGGCAGCTCTTCTTGCGGCGTCGCGAAATCAAAGGGATTATTTCAGGCTCACTTGCAAACTGATACACGGCGTGATCCCCCTGACGCGGTTTCTGAGAAGATTCAAGCTAGGAACGAGCAACGAGTGATCCCTCTACTCCGAACACCCCAAACCAGCCGTGCGTACTGCAGGCGTACTGGTAGAGAAACCAGATATCGCAATCCGCACCAGAACAGTGAACACTATCTTTCCACGCAACCAAGTACCGAGCTAGTCAGCAGACTCAGCACCGCCGGAGGGACACGTGAGGTCCGACCTGGCAATCCCCCGGGAGCAAAGCGCCGTACGGACGGGAAGTCCGACGGCGATTCCTGTGCTAGTACTCCGTGTGGACTTGACGGCGAACTCACCGGCCGTCAGTTTCAGGCCGGGGATTGAACTGTCCACATATGATTGTCCAATAATTAAATGCCAAGATTCATTGGCTCTTGTACGGTCATCAGTTTCGACCCAGCTTGACGACACTCCAGGCTTGAGTCGGATGCAGCGTGACTCGTGTACCTAGAACAGGCGTGGCAGGAAATACGGAGCAGGAGCCTTCTGAACCGTCGATAAGTCGACCTCCGACGGCTGAACGTAATTCTGGCATCTGCGTGACCGATATTGCGGGGCCGCAGCTCGAATTGCACCAGCTACAAGTAGTCAGCTAGAATTGCCAGTTCAAGGTTGCGTGTCTGATGGAACCCACGGTCGACAATCGAAACGCTCATGGCATAGTAAAGATCTAAAGACTAATGTACCTGATGCACCGGGCTGATACGTTGGTGAAAAGCGTGGTTTTGAGTCGGGTCGCTGCCAGCACCCTGGCAAACAATCAGTCACGACTAGTAGCGCATGACGAAATCTGATCCTGGAGGATCGCGCAGCTGCGCATTGCAGGTCGCTGAGCTTCTCCAGCTTGTTCGTGAGGAGAAAGCGAGGGCAAGTGTGCACTGCATTCAAGTTGGCTTTGGCCGCCGCTGCAAACACCAGCGTTTTTTGGGTACTCTGAAACGGTCGCTGTGTAACAAGAACGAGAAGAGAACACAACGAACAGTGTCGAGCCGGTGCTCGACTAGTTATCCCGAAGATGGCGGGGTCGGACGGAAGTGTCAGCTTTAGCAGCAAGGAGCCAAGGCTCTATGTGGAGTCAGACGGAGAGTTGGAGCTGCTTCCTCTGTCTTTGGGCACTTTGGAGCTCGTTCGCTGGCTGTGTTTGCAGTTGCTGCGAGTGCTTCTCAGAAAAGGAACGAGCTGGCAGTTTGACTTTAGAAGCATAGACGGAGAAGCGGAGGTTGGGAAAGAAGAGCTACTCCAGCAAGGCATGAGTCAAACACTGTACTCATTCCTCAACGACTTCGACTCCATTGTCACGGTTGTGTGCACGGTGATTGCGGTCCAAACAGCGGCCACTCCTCCACCAAAGAGTGGATGTCTCGAGGATGCTGCTTCTGGGTTCGGCACCTACAATTTCGCCTGGGCTCCAGAGCAGGCAAACGAGGTGGCGCGTCTGGTTCTGCGGCTGTTCAAAATGTGGTCTTTGCCTTCGGACCTCGCCCCAATCCTCAGTGAGCACGAGGTTGGGGAGAGTATCAACCAGTCACCAGGCGCAAACGAGAAGCAGCTTCTACAGGGAATCATAAGCGAGTTACGAAGCTTTAATGGCAGGGATCCGCTGCTTTTTGACGGACAAACCCCTCCACCGGAGTCAGTGAGCACGTTAGCAGCCGTTGCGTCGCTGGCTTCGTGCCACTCTGTTTTCAAGGTGGAATGGGTCATCAGTGGAAAGCACACCAATCTTGGAAGGGGGGACCTGGTGTTGACGAATAGGTTTGGAATCTTTTTGGTGGTTGAGGTCAAATACCTAGTGTTGTCCGCGACTGGAAAAGTAGCGCGAGCGCGGCGACGGAATCATCGGCGCGACGTCAAGAAACAGGCCATTGCCTACAGGGACCATTTACAGAGCCAGTATCCAAGCTCTCTGATATTGGCCTGCACGGGCACAAATGAGAAGCTCGAGTTCTTGGACCCCGGGGCCTCTGCTATCCTTCAACATGTGGGACCAGTAGAGTCGATTTTGGAAGAGTGGCTGGCCGAGATCGAGTCGCAGGAAGCACAGGTCTCTACTCAAACAAGGCCGCCTGCGATACTGCGTAAGAGAGAGGGGCCAGAAGTGCCGTGTGAAAAGCGACCTGCGGTGGTAGTCGCACCTAGGCCTCCACTAGTCAGGAAGAAGCGCAGATGTGGGCCTTGGAAGTGTTTGGCGGCCATAGCCGTTGTCTTCATAACGATGTTAATTTTGGGCAGTCTGTCCGACGTCTAGATAAGCTGAAAGCCGCCAGGCAGTCAGAGGTTTAGCGAACAACCCTGGACGAGCTTAGTGCTACCAATATAGAAAGAAATTAGTCATCACGAATAACTTTACCAATGGCAAGTCTTGTACGTGACT